GCATGAGGAATATACTGGGAAAAATGGTCTGGTTTAGTCCTGCGCCAGGCAAAGGTAATGGCAAACCCATCCACGGGATTGCTTTTGCCAAAGGACCTGGGTGTACCTGGTGGGTGATGCAGGACAATGGGGAGGTCCGATGCGTACCACAGGGGGACTTGATTCTGGGTAAGAATATGCTGTAAATTATGCTGTGCCTGTGTAGATTATTACTTTGTTATTGTTAACTGCTAAATGGCAGCTGGACATGACGTAGATGGTATAGAATAAAGGGGTGGATTAAGTCCTGGTTCAGACAGGATAAAGTTTTCCCCAGCAGAGAGAGAGGGGGAAGGGATCTCCAGCTGGGTTATTCATACCATGCTGACGTCAGGTCCAGGGGCGGAGCCTTTTTACTTTCGCTTCTGTTTTTGGCTTTTGCCATACACGTGGTGGGTTTGCTCCTTGATCATTTAGTGGTATTTGTCTGTATATCTTTTGTCTTGTTCACTGTTATTGCTGTTGATTGTTGTGACCATTGATACTGTTGTTATTCAGATTGTTCTATCACTCTGTTGTATTAAATTTCTTGTTATTTTAGCCGGGGTCTGTGTCTAACTTCCAACCCGACCGGTGCGGGTGGGGGAGAGGCAATGGCAATGTGCTCTCTCATCCCAGCAAGGATTAAACCTTGCACAGATGGATACAGGGGTGAAGCTCCTGATTATATGCTGCAAGTCACTGAAGTCATGCTCTATCAGTTCAGCTGCTTGGGCTTTTACTGCATGAATTTACTGCCCATTTACAAACCAGAAGTAACCTAAATTCACAAAATCTCAATGATTATAGAAATGGTCATCTCACCTTCCAAGATGCCTGACTGTCCATGAGTTGTGTCTCTTCAAAGATACACTTTCTGAGAGCCAAGAACTAAGCACTGAAACTTAAGTCTCCCAAGAAATAAAACTGATACCTTTTCACAGAAAGGAAATAAACCACAGTTAATGCACAAAATATAAAGCAGAGATAGCTTTGGAAGTAGTATCCCTATTTCAAGAGCCAAGTTTATTACAGCTCAAAATACTGTGCGGCCCTGTTGAGTTGCTCATTATGCAAGTTCACAGGGGGCTGTTGTGATAACAGTTGTGTTACAAGTGCCCAGCTATCAGTGGAAAAGTGACACTGTCTATTACAAATCCCATTTTGCCTTGGAATTTCACACTAACAGTAAAATCAGAGGGGCCTCCTCTTCCTCATGACTAGAAACTACATTCTGTATCACTATCTTGTCAGCAAAGCAAAAGCTTTCATTAGACAGAGAATATCCAAGACATTTTGGAAGTCTGAAATAAGTTACAAAGGCTCATACTGGTAAGTCACTAAGTGTTTAAAAAAGATCTAAGCAAAAAGCCAACCCCAGGTTCAGGTTAATGCTTTCTAGATTCAACAGACTGATTTACAATTTTTAACACACTAGCACCTTTTTGCTTCCCCCCGTAAGTACAGGCACAAGTCTTCACATATCAGCAGGCAGGGCCCTTAAGTTTTCATTTAAATATAACACAAAACATCTCCAATTTCCATACCCTTATATCCAGTTTATTGTAACAAGGGATTCATAAGAAAAAACTGCCAACTCTTTTGCTTAAAAAAAAAAAAGTCAAAAGAAGACATAAATACCAAACACACAGACAAGACATTATTAAAAAATATTTAAAATACTTTCTCATCATTAAGTAATAAACCTGCTTGGAAGTTTTGATCACTGAAACACTAACAACAATTAACAAGTAGCCAAAACACAAATATCCATATGGTGCCATAGAAATGTAACTACAGATTAGCAGCTGGGTGCAATGCTGCATTTCACTCAGATAATTCATTCAGAAAGACATCTTAAATCAAGTCCAGACCCAGCTCTCCTATGACAGCTCCTGGGAAGTTAAGTATTGTTAAAAACTATGATTCAGTGCAACATTTTTGTTCCATTTATTATTTCAGTCAAATCATTCAATATGAAACAGGACAGAACACATAAACAGCACCTTCTGATATGAGTTCTTCCCTGTTTTGTAGTTAAGTACAGGATGCACTCCCACACGCAGATTGTGGACAGCTTCTCTTTGCCTTACTGGAAATACAGAACTAGCCCTACCAAATTTCCTAATCTGCAGGGACAGCAATTTTGAATATATTTGACCATAAATTTGTACTGCAAAGAAGGTGAATGGGTTGGGTGAAAAATAGCATACCAAGGCAGAATTAGTTTAATGAAAGAATAAATTCACACTTTGGCCACTCCCTTCTCCCTGTTGCTGAAGAAAAAAAAAGAAACAACCTCCACACAAAAAGCCTACTGATAGCCACCTTAGAATTCAGCATAAGAAGCCATCAAACAAACAAATGGTATCTTTAGAAATTACACCAGCTGTCTACACAATCTCAGTTCCAAAACTGAAGAGGATTGGGAAGACCCTATGTTACCAGGAGACAGCTGTCAGGGGATGTGGCTGGGGAAGGATGAAGATTAGCAATTTATGAGACAAATACTGAAGTTGCAACCAGAGTTGTACTGCAGGGGATCTTTAAAGCAGCTGTCACAGCACCACAACACAGTCCAGCCCTAGTAGTTGAGACAGTTGTGGTCGGCAGGCCACTTCCTCTTATGCAGATGGCTGAAGGAGAACTACCACCACCTGCTGTTAGAAGTCCTTTGTTCACTACTCTGTTTCCAAAATACACAGGCCAAAGTCAGCTGTCTGATTTAAAAGACTAAAAAAAAAAAAATTCCCCTTTCTTTTGGTCCTAAAAACCCCCGAGATTTATATTTACATGACCTAATACACCACTGGAAAACAGTCAGGTATGTGAGCGATGAATGGAGTCCTGCAAATGCTTAAGACTTTTGTTTCAAGACATCTACAGCCAAGTAAGCACTTACAAACCTGCAGCCACAGGACCTGCACAAAATTCAGTTTATCAAATACATTTCTGTATGCAGGTTATCAGAGCTGGCTGACTTTTACACCAACCAGAACTAGGCTTTTTTTTGAGAACTAGCTGAAGCTTTCAAAAGAAAAGCAGTTAGTGCTACTATCTTTCCTAAACAGCAAGATCTCCACTAAAATCTTCTGAATTCCAGATTACTTTAAAAAGCAAGGCACTAGATAAATATACTCTGTCTTGGCAAGCAGAGTTTCAACTTAACATCAGATTAGCAAGTACAAATTGGTCACAATGCAGTAAAAACCAATACTTACAATAACAGAGTGGTACTTTAAAAAGTGTACAATGAACACTATCAACAGTTAAAACTGCATGCACTGTCAACAGTTAGTTATTTGAAAGGCAGGCTACAATTCAGTAATCGGTGAAATGTAGTTTACTCTTCGTACTCAGAATCAAATCAAAAGGACAGAAGTAGCTTACAGATGCAAGCAGGAAAGACCTTTGAAGATAAGCACTGTGAGCTTCTCTCTCAGAAACTGTTCTCCTCCCCACAAATTCAGTACTATCCACTCTTATTCAGAGATGACAACTGCCAGAGTTTTCAAGGTAAAATGCCAAAGAACCATATTCTCATGTTTTGAGGTTACAAAGCCTTTGATGCACAGAACTTCTCAAAATCATGGGTGCTTTTGCAAGGTATTCTCTCTTTAAACATCTGTATTTTTAGTTTATAGTCTCCAAACTACTGTATTGTTGTAAAAGTGTATTAAAAATGTAACTGATTAAAATAAAGTAGATGTCAGCATATTTTTCCATGCTAACTTACCTTTTAAAATCACACTTACTCAGAAAAGCACACCAAAAAGACTTCCAGTGCAACAGGCTCTTTCCACCTCGAGGAGAGGATTAAAAGCCTAACCCAAAACCCAACAGTATGCTTAAAACTCAAGCTGTCTGGTGGTTTTGGCAGCCAGAGCAACAGATGCACCAATGTAGTTCGCTGAATTCATCCTGGCTTGTGACAGTTTCAGCTGAAAATCCCAGGATCAACATAAGGATATGCAAGAAACTCCCCCACTTTATTGCCTTCTGTATCATAATGGAGCATCCGAAAACAAACATCACAGAAGAAACATGGATCCTCTGGTGCCAGACTGTCTTCGTTGGTTACCCATCTGCAGGTTACAAAATATAAGCATTTTCCATATGAGTCCAACACATTTGTGACAAACATCTCAAAATCTTACTCAAGAGTTGAGGATGGTGGCAATAAAGATCAGTAATAATGTTATACTGATCAGGTACTATCTATATTGCGCATCTCCCACACCAGGCATACAGCTCTTTTCCAAACACCACACCCTTTCAATGTCAAATCCTAACTGCTACACTGCTTACACTGGTACAACAGCATTTCCTGAGGAACTCCTCAAACCTGTGTAGCTGGTACAATGCATAACCAAAAAAACCCATAAAATTAACAGGCATCTTCTGTCCATCCTATAGCCATTAAGGTCATAAAAGATAAATCTGTTTTCCTTTAAGAAACTGTGATACAGAGCAGACACATGACTGATTAAAACTACTCTAAGTAATAACCAAATCCATTTACAAGTCCAAAAGAAGGGCCTGGATGATGCAGACAAGACGAGGAGAGGATTGCTGCAAATTCCAGCAGAAACTTCAGTTGACATGAACACAGCTGACAGTATAAGGAGGGCCTACCATGGCACCAAGCAATTAATTTTGGTGGCACTCAGAGGCCATGACAGCTCAAGGCCTCTCATGGTTATAGATGCTGTCTGCACAGATGAGAACACGCAGGACAGCCAGCCAAAAAAGCTCTGCTATCCATGGTTTGGAATCTCCATACTTAATCTTAGTGCTTAATCATGGTTTTAATTTAATACATTTATATCACCTCTGGTAACAGCCTTCCCATTCCATCTTTCCTTGACATTGACCCTTAGGATCCACCTCCCCTTATGGCCAAATGCCTCACAGGTTATAGCCACCTGTGAAGGCATCCTAGGGGGTCTGCTAGGAACACTAGGATGGGCTCCCATCACAAGGGTAATTGGCTCTTTGTCTGATTCCAGGGAAGTCTAAGGCCAAACAAGCAAGATAACAAGGACACAGCTGCTATGTCAAACTGGGGCTGAGAGTGTAAGCTGCCCTGGGGGGAAAAAAGGTGTTTTTGTAAATAAATCATTCAGACCTATAAAATCAGGGAGTCTAGCCTAGTTTGTAGAATTCTGTTAGAGAAATTTCTACTGTGTCTATTGAAAGGCTTTCTCATATCTAAGTAAATGTCAATAAAGTGTATGAAGAGCACTGTATTCACATTCTGCTCTCTTAACTGCAGAAAAACTGCATCACAAAAGGTTCCTTCAAGTGCACAGCACAGAGTTTTCAGGTAGAGGTTAGAAGTTTACCTGTGGGAAAAGCTACATGTCTTTTAAAAAATCTCTAGATTTTACTATATTAAAGTTGGACAGATCCATACCTCCCTCTACTTAGATGCTAGATTTAATGAAAGCTCTGTATGACTTCTGACAAATGAATTTGAATCATTTGTCTTGTCACAAGGGGAAAATCGAGCCTCTTCTCCCAAAATTAAGATTTTCAAAAGTAATTGATTGAGAGTTGAGCTCTACATATGCAAAAGAACTTGAGTCAAATATCTCTTCATCTTTTCAGTTCTTCTGATCATCCTGAATCATCACCTCCAAATGAGCAGTACCTGCAGGAGGCCTTTTTCTGGGTAGAAAGAGGACAACTACCTAAAAAGTAAGATTTCAGAATATTTCCATGAAGATTATTCACACACTTTAACAAATTGATGCAGAGGTTTGATTTTTTTTTTTTTTTAAAGCTAGTAGAAGCACCAAGAAAGACTTATTTAAGAAGACAAAAGGATTGAGAATGTTGCATACCTGGCTGTATACATTTTGCACACAGAGCATTTTCTGGTACATAACCAGTGTTTCTTGATTAGCAAGGGGTAGAGGTTCCTGTCCAGGCAGTCATCATGATGAATGAGCCTTGAGGGAAGTAAATAAATAAATAAATAAATAAATAAATAAATAACAACAAAGACTCAGCCACACTGGAATTTGTCTGAACATAAAGATATGGAACATAAAGATCTGGACTATAAAGATACAGTGAAGCTATGCAGGGAGAGCATTAGGAGAGCCAAAGCACAGCTAGAGCTCAACCTGGCTACAGCTGTTAAGGATAACAAAAAATGTTTCTATAAATTCCCTAACAGCAAAAGGAAGATTAGGGAAAATCTTGCTCCTTTACTGGATGCAGAGGAAACATGGTAACTAAGGATGAGGAAAAGGCTGAGGAGCTCAACACCTACTTTGCCTCAGTCTTTAGCAGTGGAACTGGCGTTCCCTGGACACCCAGCCTCATGAACTGGGAGATGGGGAGGGGAAGCAGAATGAGGTCAGCAGGGTGGAAGAGGAGGTGGTCAGAGACCTGCTGCACCCCTTGGATGCACACAAGTCTGTGGGACCGGATGGGTTACACCTAAGAGTGATGAAAGCGTTGGCAGATGTGCTCACCAAGCCACTTTCCATGATTTCCCTGAAGTCATGGCTGACTGGGGAGGTCCCACTGGACTGGAGGGTGGCAAATGTGACACCCATCTACAAGAGAGGCAGAAAGGAGGATCCGGGAAACTATAGACCTGTCAGTCTGACCTCGGTGCCAGGGAAGGCCATGGAGCAGGTCATCTTGAGTGCCTTTAAAAGTCATATAATGGACAAGCAGGGGATTGGGCCTAGACAGCATGGGTTTATGAAAGGCAGGTCCTGCCTAACAAACCTGATCTTCTACTACAGGGCGACCTGCTTATTTGATGAGGGAAAGGCTGTGGATGTTGTCTATGTTGACTTCAGGAAGGCCTCTGACACCATTTCCCACAGCATTCTCCTGGCAAAACTGGCTGCTCGCGGCTTGGATGGGCAAACGCTTTGATGGGTAAAAAACTGTCTGGATGGCCGAGCCCAAAGAGTTGTGGTGAATGGAGTTAAATCCTGTTGGCAGCCGGTCACGAGTGGTGTCCCCCAGGGCTCGGTGTTGGGGCCACTCCTGTTTAACATCTTTATTGATGATCTAGACGAGGGGATCGAGTGCACCCTCAGTCAGTTTGCAGATGACCCCAAGTTGGGTGGGAGTGTTGACCTGCTCGAGGGTAGGGAGGCTCTGCAGAGAGACCTGGACAGGCTGGAGCCATGGGCTGAGGCCAGCTGGGGGAGTGTCAATAAGGCCAAATGCCGGGGGCTGCCCTTAGGCCACAACAACCCCCAGCAGCGCTACAGGCTTGGGGAGGAGTGGCTGGAGAGCTGCCAGTCAGAGAGGGACCTGGGGGTGCTGATTGACAGCCTGATGAACAGGAGCCAGCAGTGTGCCCAGGGGGCCAAGAAGGCCAATGGCATCCTGGCTTGTGTCAGCAATAGCGTGGCCAGCAGGGACAGGGAAGGGATCTGACCCCTGTACTGGCACTGGGGAGGCCGCACCTCGATTCCTGTGTTCAGTTTTGGGCCCCTCACTCCAAAAAGGACATTGAATGACTCCAGCGTGTCCAGAGAAGGGCAACGCAGCTGGTGCAGGGTCTGGAGCACAGGTCGTACGGGGAGCGGCTGAGGGAACTGGGGGTGTTTAGTCTGGAGAAGAGGAGGCTGAGGGGAGACCTCATCGCCCTCTACAGCTCCCTGAAAGGAGGGTGCAGAGAGCTGGGGATGAGCCTCTTTAACCAAGTAACAAAAGATAGGACAAGAGGGAATGGCCTCAAGTTGCTCCAGGGAAGGTTTAGACTGGATATTAGGAAGTATTTCTTTCCAGAAGGGGTTGTTAGGTGTTGCAATGGGCTGCCCAGGGAAGTGGTGGAGTCCCCATCCCTGGAGGTGTTTAAGAGTTGGGTTGACGTAGCGCTGAGGGATCTGGTGTAGTTGGGAACGGTCAGTGTTAGGTTAATGGTTGGACTGGATGATCTTCAAGGTCTTTTCCAACCTGGATGATTCTGTGATTCTGTGATAAGCATGGACATTGAAGATAAGGCATAATTTAATTCCCGTGTAAACTATGACTAGACTTCTGCTTAGCATTTCTTAACGCAGATGGAAGACCTGAAGATAGACTGCTGGTTGCACTGTCTGTGGATTTTATGGTCAGGCGGAAATTCACTTGTGTAATAACTAAGAAGTGTTCAGACCATCTACTTTAGATGGTCTTTTCAAAGCTTTTTCCTACACAGACTAACAGGCAAAAACATCACCAGATAAATGTTCAGAGGCTCATAATCCTGAGATCAGCTACTTGCAACACCTATCCTATTCTTCTGGTTGCATTCCTCTTGGGAAGCAGCATTCATTACCAATGTTTAGGTACATCAGGCTTCTGGGAACTGAAAATAATCTGTCACCCACTACAGACAATCAGAGGAGTGCTTTCTCTGCACTGAGCAGAGTATACACAATAGTTCTACTGTGGATGCGGTTGCCACCTCACAGCCACTATCGTCTCCTCCTTGTCTCCTTTCCCTATCCACCTCAGCGCAGTATTTCCCCTCCTTTGTTCTCTTTTCAATTCATGCCCCTTAGCACCATGTCTAAAATAAGAAGTGCAGCTGACTCCAGCCAGAGCCATTAACAGCATTCTGCTTTCTGGTGCTTCAGAATCACTATGTAAATCTGCCACACATTGGCTTTGCATAGAAAGAGCTTTTCACTGTGGGTGTCCCATACCACAGTCATGCCATGCTAGTTAGAAAGCAGCCTTTCCATGCAGATAAATTATTTAAAAACAAAATCAAAACCAAGGAAGATTACTTTCTTCCTTGCAGAGGTAGTCCCAGGTATATGGAATAAAATCTTAAATAAACCCTGCAGAAGGCAACAGAATAATCTTAGTCTAACAAATATTCAGCATTTAACATCTGAAATTTGTCCACAGAAGGCTTGCTTCTAATTGCCTGAGGACTCCCAAAGAGCAGTAACTTACCTTACATCTGTGATGATAATGATGTGCTCACAGTTCCCCTGGTGGCAGAAAAGGTATGGAAAGCCAATTTTGAGGTACAAATCATTAAATGTGTAGTCCTCCATTTTAACAGACTGAAGATTTCCATAGCCTCTGTCATGAGATTCTGACCACTCAATAATTGTTCTGAAAACAGAAAGGTCATCAGCATAGCAATGCTATAAACTGTGAATGCACATTTAAAAAGATGGATATCAAAACAGCTCACAATATTTTTGTAATAATTTAAGGTAATTTCACAGCAATACCATAACCCCACAGAACTGTGAACTGTTCTTGTGGAACATCTGCCTTTAAACACCCACCAGTCAGCTTCCTGAAGCATTCTAGTCAGAATGTATGCTCCTGCTGGCACCCATCCAGCTCAGGTTGTTCGCAGCAAGACACTTCTCAAGCATTCCAGTAATTCAAGTTGCCAGCAGGTAGTTTTTGCTCCTTTCATCAATAACTTTGTTTTAAAGTATTGAAAAGCTTTTTTTGTTTTTGCCAAGGAGAAACACAAAGTTGATAACTGCCCAGTTACACTTCCAAAATTTAACACTGTAAGGGCACTGGTCACTGTTACAATTGTTTCTTGGCTTTTCAGCACACTCCTACATACAAGGCATTTCACTTCTACAAATTGTGTATGTTATCACAAGCCCTTCCATGAAGATCATTACTGCTCATGGACAGAAAGAGACAGAGAAAAGTAATTAATTTATCTGAAGTCACACCCCAAGTCTGGCATAATGAGTCTAAACTCTCAGTTCTTCCACACCATCCATTTTAACACTAAATCTCACCAGTGTGTCAGTAAGCCCATACTTCCTTTAAAATCAACTACAAGGTATGGCTTGTGCTCAACTAGTGTGAGCTATAGTTCCAAACAAGAGATACCTGAGACTCTTGGCAATGACATGTCAGATTTCTTTCCCCAACAGTCACACATCCCCTTCTTGACTTTACCGTGAAGGCATTCAGCATGTTTTCAAGACTGAGCAGAACAACTGAATTCCATCCAGCTTACCTTGTTGTTTTTCTGACCAATCTTCTGCTTCAAAGGAAAGTTTTTTGGTGGTCATCACAACTAGGGAGGGCACTTAAAAAGCCAATACAGACTGACACCTGTCACTTTCCACAGCAATCCCATCCCAATAGGGCAAAACAGGATTTGTGGGGAAAAAAATGCATTCAACCTCTTTTCAGAAGGGAAGTGAGTGAAAGGAATAAGTAAAGCAAGTAATGTTAAACATCTATGTAAAAATCAGTTCAGCATGAAAAGATAGTATGAAAAGTCCATATACTAGACATTCCAGTCTTTAAAACAACATAAATCATAAACAAAATTATATAAATTTTATTTCCTTCAGGTTTTCCTTAGTCACCATCTACAACTACTGTACCTGCTTAGATCTCTGCACTCTGGGTATCTTTTATCATTATAAAAGATGCCTTCAAAATAAAAGAAAGCAGATTTGTAGAAATCCTGAGAGAGAGACAGACAGATGTTTGCATTAGTGTTACAAGTGATTAAACACCTTAAACAAGAATATGTCAAAAACTAAGCACTTCAGGAGCTTTGTATAATATAAATTATACTAAGAGACCTCATTCTACAGGTTTTTAAGAAAAGCTTTGCATTGGTTTTAGACGCTGATGTAACAACAACGCTTATATGATTGCCGGCTATGCAGTTGCTCTGCTAATAGTATTCTCAAGCCATTACAGGTTATTTCAGTGCTCTTCTCTTATTGCTATCCACATCACAGCAGTTACCTATTTCTACAAAAATACAGAACAAGAACACAAGCATCATCTTACAGAGAGCACAAATTAAGTAACTGCACAGCACTGATTTAAAAAAAAAAAAAAAAAAAAAAGACTAATAATATTTTTTAAAAATAGCAAGATATAGTGGGATGACTTTGGCTGGCTGCCAGAACTCCACCCCAGTTACTCTCTCACTCCTCCTCAACAACAGGACAGGGGAAAGAAAGTAGGATGGGAAAGCTTGTGCATTGAGATAAAACCAGTTTAATAATAAAATCAAAGGCCACATGGAGAAGCAAAGCAAAACCAGACTTATTCTCCACTTCCCATCAGCAAGTGGTGTCCAACCACCTAGGAACCTGGGTCTCAGCACACATAGTGGTTACTTTAAAAGACAAATGCCTTAAACATTAATGGCCCCCTTCCTCCTTTCCTCCAGCTCTTATTGCTGATTGCAACATCATATGGAATGGGATACCCCTTTGGCCAATTTGGGTCAGCTGCCCCAGCTACATCCCCTCCCATCCTCTTGCTCCCCACCAGCCAACGGGCCTTGGGGGGACCTAGAGAGACAGCCCTAAGCCTGGAGATCCCTTCCCCCTCTCTGCTAGGAAAACTTAACCCTATCCTAGCTGAACCAGGACAAAATCCACCCCTTTATTCTATACCATCTGCGTCATGTCCAGCTGCCATTTAGCAGTTAATAACAAAATAACAATTTACAAAGGCACAGCATAATTCACGGCATGTTTTCACCCAGAATCAAGTCCCCCTGTGGTACACATTGGACCTCTTGTCCTGGTTCAGCCAGGATAGAGTAAAGTTTTCCCCAGCAGAGAGAAAGGGGGAAGGGATCTCCAGCCGGGTTATTCATACCATGCTGGCGTCAGGTCCGGGGGCAAAACCGTTTTCCTTGCTCCTTGGCGGGTTCGGGAGGGAATTTTGCTTTCCGTAAGTCAGCTAGTGGTATTGTATATTGTTTGTCTTGTTCACTGTTATTGCTGTTTATTGTTGATAGAATTGATACTGTTGTTGTTCAGATTGTTCTATCACTCTGTTGTATTAAATTTCTTATTATTTCAGCCAGGGTCTGTGTCTAACTTCCAGCCCAACCGGTGTGGGTGGGGGAGGGGCAACAGCAACATGCTATCCAATTCCGGCAGAGCTTAAACCTGCACACCTCTCCATCATCCTGCATCACCCACCAGATACACCCAGGTCCTTGGGCAAAAGCAATCCCGTGGATGGGTTTGCCTTTACCTTTGCCTGGTGCAGGACTAACCCAGACCATTTTTCCCAATATATTCCTCATGCACACCACAGGGACTTTATCCCCATCTACAGCACGTGGAGGTTTTGACTGAGCTGGGCCAGCTCAACTGGCAGATCCTCTTGTGTTGACTAGCCAGGTGGCCTTTGCTAGATGCATGTCCCAGTCTTTGAAGGTCCCACCTCCTAATGCTTTCAATGTGGTTTTTAACCGTCCATTGTAGCGCTCAATCTTCCCAGAGGTAGGGGATATGGTAGACCCACTCGATGCCGTGTTCTTCTGCCCAGGCATTTATGAGGTTGTTTCGGAAGTGGGTCCCGTTGTTTGACTCAATTCTCTCTGGGGTGCCGTGTCACCACAGGACTTGGGTTTCAAGGCCCAGGATGGTGTTCTGGGCGGTGGCGTGGGGCGCTGGGTAAGCTTCCAGCCATCCAGTGGTTACTTCCACCATTGTGAGCACATGATGCTTGCTTTGGCGGGTCTGTGGCAGTGTGATGTAGTCGATCTGCCAGGCCTCTCCATATCTCTATTTCAGCCATCGCTCTCCATTTAGCTGGGGCTTCACCCGCTTGGCATGTTTGATTGCAGCACACGTCTCACATCCGTGGATGATCTCTGCAATGGTGTCAATGGTGAGGTCCACCCCTCGATCTCGAGCCCACCTGTATGTTACATCCCTACCTTGGTGGTCCGAGGTCTCATGGGCCCACCGGGCTATGAACAGTTCACCTTTGCGCTGCCAGTCCAAGTCCACCTGAGCCACTCTGATCTTAGCAGCTTGGTCTGCCTGCTGGTTGTGTCGATGTTCATCAGTGGCCCGACTCTTGGATACATGGGCATCCACATGGAACACCTTCACAAGGAGGTTTTCCACACGGGCTGAAATGTCCTGCCATACTTCAGCAGCCCAGATGGTTTTACCCTTACATTGCCAGTTGTTCTACTTCCATTGCTGCAACCATTTCCACAGGGTGTTCGCCACTGCCCATGAGTCGGTGTAGAGGTAGAGCCTCGGCCACTTTTTCTGCTCAGCAATATCCAAAGCAAGCTGGAAGGATTTCACTTCTGCAAACTGGCTCAATTCACCCTGTGCCTCGGCAGCTTCAGTGACCCGTCATGTGGGACTCCATACAGCAGCCTTCCATCGTCGATGTTTTCCCACAATGCGACAAGACCCATCAGTGAACAGGGCATATCGCTTCTCCTCTTCTGGCAGCTCGTTATATGGTGGGGCCTCCTTAGCACGTGTCACCTCCTGTTCTGGTGACGTCCCAGAATCTTTGCTCTCTGGCCAGTTCGTAATCACCTCTAATATCCCTGGGCAGCTGGGCTTCCCTATTCGAGCCCGTTGTGTTATCAACACAACCCATTACTCCACGTGGCATCTGTTGCGTGATGTGTGGAGGAAGCCTTTCCTTTGAACATCCACCCCAGCACCGGCAGTCAGTTTCAGTGCCGACCACTTCTGAGGCAGCCCGAACTCCTTCGTACGCTGCCAGTATCTCCTTCTCAGTTGGTGTATAATTAGCTTCAGAGCCTTTGTATCCCCAGCTCCAAAAGCCCAGAGGTCGGCCTCGGGTCTCCCCAGGTGCTCTCTGCCAGAGGCTCCAGGTAGGGCCGTTCTCCCCGGCTGCGGTGTAGAGCATGTTCTTAACCTCCTGCCCTTCCCGTACTGGCCTGAGGG